CCCGTATCAGACGGAATAACTTTCGATGGTTACCAAGGGCAGCGACCACTTTCATCTCAGACGCACGAAAAGACCACCAAGATTCGCAGTCTCTTCTTAGGCTACCATGAAATTTTGCCGGAGTTCTTTGTGATTTTCATTGTGTTCGCTTCCAGCCGGAATATGCCGGTGAGCGTCGATAAGTTCCAGAGACCGCGAAGAGACCTAATGTCCATTTTGGCTATTAGACTTACCACATGATGATTTGCCTGCTGCTGGTGAGGTCTGGTGAATATGCGACCAGTGACCTTCAATTGTCTCCAGTGAGCGCTTACTCAACCCACATGTCAGCGTATTTCGATACGCATTCAGGACATTTGGCTTCGCCAGTGTCAATGCGCTCACAGCGTCGTCGTGGGCGTTCGTCAAAACGCATCCGCAAGTCAGCACATACAAGTGCGGGACATCGGTCGTTGAAGCACAGTCGCGTGCAATATGTCCGACCTTTCCGCATTTTTAACAAGTAGACTGTTTGTGCCTGCAATCAGTAAACTTTTCATGATTCTCGCCGCATCTGTAGCACGTAAAGTAACATTTTTGTGTGGATGATAATCGAGACTTAACCGCATGGACGGCATCTGAAGGAGAATCGTTTCGATAATGAATTAATTGTTGCACAGCGCTTTCACTCTGTCTGATCAGTGCGCAGGCTTTTCAGTGAGTTTTTTCTCTTCTGACAGCAGACGTTCCCTAGCTTTATCGTCTCGAATATCAACCAAAAGGGATTGCACCGCCATCGTCTCTTCGTTGCAGGAATTTCATTGTAACAGAAATCAGGAAGGGACTGTTGCATACGACTGATGAATTTAATAACACTCCCCTCTTCTCCCTGTCGTAATTGAGAAAAACTCAGGCGCGCCGTAAAAACATGTCGCCAGAGACCATGTAGGGCGTTAAAGTAGTCCGTCAGGGATATGCTTCCGTACAAATGCAACGCATCAAAATGCCGCTGAGCTTCCGCATCGAGGTGTTGTCTCAATAGTTTCATAGACTGGGTTTCATTAAGTTTGATGTGGGGGTGTGTAATTGTGAAAAGCTCTAGGTAGTCACAGAAGATTCATTTCCAACGAATTCAAACTGCTAAGGATGGCTTAGACGACGTGTCCTTTCAAAAGGGATCAGGCGGGGTAAGATGGCCAATAGTAAATCATTCTAACCTCCGTTAAGCAATTGCGGAAGTAACGCTCAGTGACTGGCTCGTAGCCGAAGTATCGAAAAGCAAAACATGTTAGGCAAAAGTGTATTCCAACCAGCATGTTGCACAACGCATCGATTCAGAATTCTAAATAGGTCAATCGATGAGTGATTTACTGACACGCCAGCAGACGCAGGCAACGAACAGCAAGGGCTCAGGACATCGGCCGTGAGGATGGCGCACTCTTCTTGCTACTTCCAACCAGTGCTTAATCAGTAATCACTCTTATGAAAACGTTACATATACACACACATACATTTGCACAATCCGATAATAAAAACAAAACCTATAGGTAAGCGAAGTGCAGTCACACGTAGCATGTATCTGGACCAGCGTAATTTATTCAGCCTCAATTGTGTGCTTCAATATTTTAGATGCGCTGGTGCTACCTGACATTAGCGACGCTCAGTAGGCAACGACGGCTAAAGAAGTGAAGACGTTTGGAATCTTCAGGCTGTAGGAGGCAAGTTCCAGTTATATCGGTGAACGGCCCTGTGGTTCTTTGTAATACAACTACGAATAAGGGCCAGCACCTTCCGGCTTAAGCGATGTACCGATACATATTCGTTTACGCTACAAAATAGGAAAAGTGAACTGACCAATTGTCGCTCTCTGAGCTGTATAATCCTTTCAGTTGCGCAAAGAGCTGTGTCGATCCGGAGTATCTGTTTTTACTAGCTCTTTGCTTTCAGATCTGGGTCATTAGATATCCTTTGTTGAAAAGCGATGATCTTGCTCTGTTTCTCTACGGGCCAACCAACTTAATCTTTTCTATCGGCGACCCCTCAAAACAGAACTTACCAGAGCTGCCATAGACGCATATGACTTTCAACATTTTTGGCCTAACCGTAAACACGCAAGTGGCGCTTGACTGGATTGATGTTCACGGGCTTTGCGCATGATCCCTTCGTTCAAAGTATCACTTATCGTTACACTTAAATAAATAAATTTGTATATTTACCGACGGACGGTACACGGCCCCATAAGTGGGAGCGATCATTTGTATAGTGAACACGTTTCATAACATTAAATAAAAGTTTACTGATAGCATTTCGGTTCATGATTACTTTCCCTTGAGTCCTAGACCCGCGCAACTCATATGTAAAATTTACAGATGTTTGTATCGTCAGGAGTAGATAATAAACGAAGGGACTATTAGGCTGCAAAGACACAGGATTTGGTATGGTATGTAATGACATGTAGTGGGTAAGCTAGCTGTAAGCTATTATCAAATGTTTTTTATACCAACTTCTGTCAATGTTTCTAGTGTTTGCTGTGAGTCAAATATCTTCAGAACATTTGGTATAGTGAGGAAGGTCTGAAGGAGATTTCGAAAAGTGACATGGCTTGTACACATGCGTATCTGTAGGGGTAGTTTGTTCCACAAATAAGTGTATCTCACTAAGAAGAAATTCGACCAAATTTTATGACTTGAAAGGTTTGTACGTATCAAGTAGCCGCCATTACGTGTGGGGTAGACTGCAGTCTTCCGTAGTTCAAGTGCGGTGCTGTCTGCGTAAATTCGTTGGTTTATAATGTTGTAGAAGAGAACAAGGTTGTTCTTTAAGCGTCTCAGCCAAAGTGGATCCAGATGGAGTTTTCGACAGCGATCATAATAAGTCAGGTTTGAGCAGCGTCCCATGAGCAGTTTGGTAAATGATCGTTGGACATTTTCTAGAGCCGTTCTGTCTTTCTTTCTCAATTGGCTGTGAAGGATAGTACAATATTCCAGAGTCGGTCGTACGATTGTCTTGAATGATTCAGGTAGGGAGAAAGTTCTGGTGATATATCCGCATAGCTGCCTTGCTTTCGCAACCTGATAAAGAACATGTTCGGAGAAATTGAAAGAGTTGGAGTACCTAATTCCTAAGTCCCGAACTGAATCAGACGTTGGGATCACGTTTCCGGCAAGTATAATGGAGCCTTCTGGGATGCAGCATCTGTACCCAAGTACTTGGGATTTCACTGCGGAGAACTTCATTAATAAGCGCTCACTAGCTATATTTAGTGCGGATAGGTCTTCACAGATGTTTCCCAAACACATATGTAGTTGGTCTGGATGAAATGAGTAAACCAGTTTGACATCATCTGCAAACAGAAATGGATGTCCATGTTTGATCGGGTCACATATATTGTTTACATAGATTAAGAAAAGTAGCGGTCCGAGCACACTTCCCTGGAAGACACCGCTGGTTATTGGCTTCGGTGTAGAATGTTGCTGACCGATTTTAACGACCTGAGTTCGACCGTTTAGGTATGAGTCAAACCGGTTAAGCAGCGGATTTCCAATTCCATATGACTCTAGAGCAGACAGCAGTGGCTGGTGTGGCACGCGGTCGAACGCCTTTTGCATGTCCAACAGAATTATAATAATTGCCATTCCCCTGTCAATCATAGTCGTGATGTGATCGAGAAATTGTAGCTGGCATGTAACGCAGGAGCGTTTTGAGAGAAAGCCGTGCTGTGAAGGGTTGATCAGATCCAGTCTTGTAAGATATTGGACGATGTTCTTCTTGACTATTCGCTCTAGGGCTTTGGAAGCAGCAGAGGTGTGATTTATTGGGCGGTAGCTTGACATTTGATTTCTCGGTCCACCTTTGTGCTTAGGCATTATAATGGATTGCTTCCACTGAGCTAGAAAGCATCCGGTAGTGAGTGAAAGCGTGAAAATGTTTAGTAACAATAGTGCGAGGTTTTTTCCTCCGAGTTTTATAACAGTTGGGGAGATGCCATCTGGACCTGGATGAGTTGATGGTTTTATGGCTGCGATGGCACTTTGCACCTCTCTTAACGTCACAGGGATATTGCAGTATAGTTCGGTCGTTCTTTTTGGAAGTGGAGGATGAAGTGGCTGAATGTTAGGGACAAAAGAGGAGGCAAAACTAGAGTTCATGGCCTCGCATATACAGGAGATGTCGCGCGTTATTGAACCACCGTCTAGAGCCAACGTTTCAATTTCCTGAAGTGGTTTAGGGTTTCTTCTTTTGAGTAGTTGTATCAATGCACGTACATTCTCAGGATTTCTGAGTACCCGGCTTTCTTCTTTGGTTTTGACCGTTAGAGTTAGACGTTGTAAATATAGTAAGTTCTCGTGTATTTGTAGCAATGTTGCGAAGCTGTTGTTCCTGCTGTATAGCGATTTGAGTTTCTTTAGTTTTATTTTGGCTTTGGACAGAAGCTTGAGTTCACCCCTATGTTCATGGGTATTTCTCCTTACAGTAGGTGCTAGTAGATCCACAACAAGGGCAATGTTGTTTATAAACTCATTTGTAGCCACAGTAGGGTTGTGGGTTAGGAATGACGTATTCCAATTCATGGTACTGATAAGTTCATTAAATGCGTTCCAGTCCACACGATGGAGGTTACGAATGGGTTTTAGCATTTTACTTGGTCGTTTAGGTAAATCAATAGTCATATCACAAAGCACCGTGTTGTGATCACAGCCAGGCAGTGGATTATCAATGAATGTATAAGCGTTCGCGATTCCCATCGTGAATACAATATCAGCAGCTGGTCAATTCGGAGCGTTACCCAACTACGTACGGTAATCACGGCAGATAAACGGTTAGACAGTGCGCAGACATGCTAAAAACGAGCAATGGACAGCATAGGTGCCTTGACTTCGAACGACACTTCAGTGCGACAACAGGATTTGGTGCCAAACAACACTAGATGCGGGTAATAAGTTAAAGATCACGATGGGGGTATGAGGCAATAAAGGTTCAATTTCCCCAACCGATGTGGTAAGGAAACAGGAATCCAAACGTATGGGAACATTCGATAGAGATTCCCACTGGCATAACACTTCACTGATTTGACGTAGATGTTTCAGGATAGAATGCAAAACTACCGGGAAACAATATATCCAATAACAGTTTTACATGGTAAGTGAAATATAGATAAATCACAGCACAGTGACCAAGCTCCAATACCAAAAGTATGGTGGTCAGCTCAGTTACCAACGTTTAACGATACAAATCCAGCTCATTCCAATCAACTCTGGAATAATACAGGAGCAGGATTGTAGCAACGGGGCTAGCACATCGCTGAAATAGTGAATGAACAGCTTCCAAGAACCATGTGTAGCAGTTCACAGCATGCATAAAACGAGGAAAAAGGCAACCATGTCGGACTGCTATTTTCTCCATGATGACATTATTTGTTCCTTTGCGTTATGGATAGCCTAGAGGATTGGAAAAAGCAAGCATATAAAAGGTGTGAAAACAGCTGTAAAATGTGGAGGATCACGAGGACAAAGTATATGCGACATGATGAACGGGCTACAAAGCACAAGGGATAGCACTACTACTTGGTAATGGGCTACAATGCGGAACCAATAAACACTGTTCGCAGTACGAAAACTATGTTGTGTCTGAGTGGTTGTTTGTGACACTCATGTAATTTGGCAGAGATCGGAAGCAAGCAAAGATTGAACAGAAAACTGGACACTTAATGAACTTAATGATTAGCTGCATTGATGTAACTAAATCGAAAGAAAATGTCATATCACCGCTAATACGGACGGTTGCAAAAAGTAGGCATTCAGTCAGTGATTCCGGCCGAACCAGTTGCGTCAATAAATCAAAATGCTTGATGAATCTACCGCCGATCTTTGAAGTTAAAACTCGACAAATAACGTGCCAAATAGATAAGCAGCCTATGGCAGTACTAAAGAAAATGACACTGACCTGGCCACGATGGGATCTCTTCTGCTGTAGTCAAACACGGTGGAGATGATATCCCCCTTATTTGATTGAATATCTTCTCTTTGTCTCTCCAGTCTGGTCAATATCCCGAACGTTGCAAAACGGCTGCGGTTGTACCGAGGCATAAGTCCGGGTCAAAAACTGACCGCCCCATTACTCACACAGCCAGTCTCTCACGCATGCTAGAGAGAATTGTTAAGGAACATTTGGTTTCATTCATATTCTCGCACAAACGTCTCACATTCACAGCGTGGCTTTCTGAAGTCCCGCTAGTGTGTTACCTGTCAAGTTGACTTCCTTAACCAGCTAACTGAAGCAATCGACTCAGGTCTTCAGTGTATTGTCACCTTCCTTGACACGCAAAAAGCGTTTGACAGAGTCCCACACAAGAAGCTGCTATATAAATTAAGTAAGTACGGTGTTACAAATCCGCTTCACTCTTGGATCCAATCGTACCTAGTAGGACGGTGGCAAGTTGTGGTTATCTTCACCTCGTCTGGTTAACAGTGGTGTGGTACAGGGCAGGGTCTTAGGTCCGTTACTCTTCCTACTGTATATGAATGACCTTGTTTCTGTTATACAATTTGGCAAGCCTTATTTGTTTGCTGATCTAAAGGTGGTTTACACGTTCGCAAGTTCTCAGCGGACCGCTGAACTTAATAATATCCAAAGCGACTTGAAAGCCATTGAGAGATGGGCTGTTATGTGGCAGATGACGTTTGCAACATCGAAGTGCAGTATTCTGGCGTATGGATATCAGATAGCAGCAGAATTGATCAGGCTTCATGATGAAATCATTTTCATCAGCCAGTCTGTTCGTGACTTAGGTTTAAAATACTCTAGTTCGTTAAAATTTAGCGAACATACAAATCATATCGTGAAAAAGGCTATGCAGTCGGTCGGCCTCATATGCCACCAGCTAATCTTGAAAGAAACCAGACTAATTGCTTTCAAAATTAGTATCAGGTCTTTGCTTGAATATTGCTGTGTTACGTTCGGTAACTTGCGGAAGTGGGACTTGAGCCAATGAAAACATTCAACGCGCCTTTACCAAGCTCATATACGGCTATTCAACCGCTCTTTCACACAATAGGTGCAAGGAGCTGAATCTTGAACCTCTGCGGTTACAAAGAATGCAATTAGCTCTGTGCTTCCTCCACAAACGCGCGTGGCGGAAAGCATATGTTGGAACATATCAACTGCATTTTCAATGAACAATGAATTATCACGGGATAAAAGCAAGTGCTTGACACGTCCCGTAGGACGGTAGCGGTGAATATGATGCTATTAAAATATGTCTGGGTCATCTATCGAACGTCTGCCGAGATGAATACTTTGATAAGTAACATCGGTGTAAAATTAAAATAAATTATCGCGCGTAAACGTTCAGAAAGACACTGGGGTGCAGTGATCATTGAGGTAAGGAGTGAGAAAAGTGAAATATGGTCGCTCACTTAGGTCCATTTGATACATAAATACTGTTGAAAACATGCTTGGCGTAATCCACAATAGAGGAGCTTAAGTAACAAAATGTTGGGAGCTGAGAGCAACATCTAATCGTTTTTTGAAAACATCCAAGGTAGGAGAGGATACAACTGAGTCTGGGAGTGCGTTCAAGGGTTGGCAAACCCGAAGGGAAAAGTAATTCCGTCGACACTCTAGACGGCTTTATTGTTCTTTCAACTTTAAGCAGTTACCCCTGAGCAGCGTGTTGTGGCTAAGTTTCAGTAAATGGCGGCATACGCGTTTGGGGTCACTCAGTAGCTGATACGCTAATATGAGATCGCCGCGCAGCCTTCGGTAACGTCCGCTGAAAATTCCCAGCAAATTCAGCCTTCGGTGGTAAGAGTGATAGCGCAGGCCCTTTACATTCTTTGTTGCTCTTCGTTGTGGTGCCTCTATCGCTTCTAGGTCGCGCTTCAACCAAGGTTGCCAAGCTTGGATTGCGTATTCAGCATGCGGGCGAACGTAGGAATTGTGCATCAATGGGAAGATTGATGGGTCAAATCTCCCGAATGCTCTTCGCAACATGCCGACGTGCTGGTTGCCTCTCTTCGCAGCTACCTCAGCCTGTTTTGAACAGTGGAGGTCGCTCTGTACGATCACACCAAGATCACGTTCCTGGGAGCTATTCTGCAATCCGTTTGTCCCAAGTATATAGGTGTAATTATGTCTATGGCGTAATTGTACAACGCGACATTTGTCTACGTTGAACGGTAGGGCGTTTTGAACCGACCAGTGCGACACTGTATTAAGATGGTGCTGGAGCCGTTCATGGTCGTCTGGTCCTCTGATCCTTCGCCATATCTTGATATCATCAGCGAAAAATAGGAAATCGGAAGTAATTGATCTCGCCAAATCGTTAATGAACACCAAGAATAGACGAGGTCCAAGAACCGAACCTTGTGGTACTCCACACGCCACATCGATTGCATGCGAAAATGCTGCTCGGACTCTCACCACTAGCCGTCGTTCTTGTAGAAAATTGCTAATCCAACTCAGGATTGGATCGCCAATACCGTAGTTCCGAAGCTTCTGAAGGAGAATACGATGGTCTAAACGATCAAACGCTTTTGAAAAGTCCAGGTAGATGACATCGACTCCAACTCCATCATCAACAGCTTCAGTCCAGCTATTACGTGCAATTAATAGGTTAGTATTACACGAATGCTTTTGACGAAAGCCATGTTGCTCTGGGGCTATTAAATTGTGGCTTTCCAGGTATTGCATCAGCGCATCTGCAATGATTGATTCCATCCCTTTGGATAGTACGGGAAGTAGTGTTATTGGACGGTAGTTGGCAGGATCAGTGCGGCTACCCCCTTTATGGATAGGAGTGATAACCCCTTGCTTCCATACTGGTGGAATAAGGTTTTCCTCTAGACATCGCTGATAGAAAACAGCCAGTGGTTCTGCTAGATCACTAGCTACCGCCTGCAGTCTTTGGTCTGATGTTATCAGCTCCGGGAGAACTGTGGATACGCAAGGATAACAACTTCTTCAACACAGCTTCCGTAGTGAAGGTGATGTTTTCTAAACCAGATGGTGAAGTATTAGAAATGAGGTGAATGTTTGGGCTCGTTACCTGTTGGAAAGTTTGGGAGTAATGAAGCCGTAGGAGATCAGCTGCTTCCATTGCTGACCGCGTGCACCCATCAGCCGTGACTAGCGCTGGAACCCCTCGCTTTACCTTTCGAAGGCCGTTAACGTGCCTGTACAGGAGTTTGCGGTTAGTGCAGAATCGCTTCATTAACTTCTGCTGATGCGTGACCTTGTCTTCGCGAATCAGTTTCACACAGAAGTTACGATGTGTCACGTATGCAGTCCAGGTTTCGGCATTCGGGCAGTCCTGGTGATTTCGCCATGCCAAATTCCTCCGGGACAGACATTTACGTGTTCTGCTCCTCAGAACTGACTTAATCTTGTTTTTGGATTGGAAGGACTTCTGTTCCGATGCTTGAGCTACCAGTGTGCTCAAAGTCCTTGTAAACATATCCCAGGCCAGATCTGGGGGGCATTCGGACAAGAAAGTCCAAGATGTATCCTTAACAAGCTTGGACAACACATTGTAGTGCGTGACAGTATGCACTTTATCCTCTTCCTTTTCAGGGTACTCGGCATAGCATATATAATCAAAGAGTAGAGTAACATGATCACTACGACCCAGTGGTGTGCTTGTAACTATCCCGCCAACCATGAGTTCTTCGTTAGTTAGCACAAGATCCAATATCGACGGCTTGTTAGAAGTTCGGAATCTGGTGGGAGAGGTTACGTGGTTGTAAAGAGGATGGCTAGCAATAAGTTCTTGCAAACAGGCTTTAAACTGCATACCGTCGGTTGCCGGCGTTTCTATGTCGTGCACGTTAAAGTCCCCCGCGATAAGAAAGTGGGTGTAGGATTTGTTCAAAGCAAACTGAAAAACGTGGTACAGTTTGGAGTCCATTTCCGACGTTGAGTTTGGCGGGCGATAAACCACGGCTAGTAGACATGTGTCCTTGTTTCGCAACCAAAGGCGGCACCAAAGCGAATCGGGAGCTCGGATTTCCGGGTGATCGATAACTTCACATCGGAGGCTTGTATTATAGTAAAGAATCACACCGCCACCCCTTCCGGTTCTATCGGTCCGAAGCAGCGACATACCGGATAAATTGATCTCACTGTCGGTTATCGCAGGGTTTAACCATGTCTCTGTAATCATGACGAGGTCCCGAGGTTGTGAGGCATGAAGTTCTCTAAGTTCGGCCAACTTGCTTCGAAGGCCTTGAGCGTTTGTGTACATGCAAGATAGGACTTTTGCTGTTAGGAGTTCATTGACAGATGTCAAGTTTGTGTTAGTTGATAAACCGGCCGTTAGGTGGCCGGCCATTAATCGTTTTTTGGTTTGTGCATTTCAGTCGTGTTGCATGACATTATTGAGCGTTCCTGAACAGACGGTTCATTCGTGCTGTGCTCGGTCCTCCTGTGTGCTGTGGGCGCTGTTGTGTCGGTTTCTCTGAAGGACTGCGCATATAAAGAATTTGCAGCGTTTGCAAGTTCCATCAAATTTCTTCCGACTTTTGGTCGTTCGCCTGCTGCCTTTAGCCGTATTTCTGTTGGCAACCTAGCTCGAAACTTTAACCAGCTATCCAACAGAACTTGCGTCATTCCCTCGGAGTGTAGTATTACTTTCATTAGCCTTGGACCGCAGCCCTTGTAGTTAGGTGATGACGGAACTCTTGTCAGGGATTTGGCAATAACATTGTCAACAGTGAGTGCTTCGCGAATGTTGCACCACTGCTCTCGGTCATGTGTTTGCGCATGGTGATTAAAAGAATGCAGAAGCTCGGGAACACCATGAACAAATATTGGTTTCTTCCTATCCCTATTAGCAATACCGCGTTGCTCCACTGCTTCTTTTGCGCGATCTTTCCAAGGTTGATCAGGTAATATGCGCACTCCGCTCGGTGAGTTGCGAAGACGAACTGCAGAGAGCAGGATAGCCTCTGTCTCATCTGCTGAATTTAGTGTTACTCGAAGAATTCGAGGTTCACCAGAGTGCACTGAGGTCGGGTGACGCGCCACGCGTTGCAGCATTGCAGGCTCAACCCGAATGCCAATCGCCTCGCAGATAGAACTCCACTGGTTGCGATCGTCTTGCAACTTGCCTTTTATTGTGCCAGATTTAAATTTGGGAACGTTGGTGCACACGAGAGTTAGCGCAGCGTGGTTTTGTCTAGCGAGTGTTGGCTTTATAATTTTTACTGGCCATTCAGGTTGTTTAGAGGGCACCAGTGGAGTCGACGGTGAAAGCTGCTTTGCGCCACGCGTGCTCGGTACTGAAGATGGACCTGTGTGTGTCCCTCCCGGTGTGTTTGTCGAGGCAATCGATGCGTACTGCTTGTTATCTGCACCGGATTTCCTTCGGCTGTGAGCTGTTGCTGTCATGGCTGAATCTCCAAGTGAAGCGTCTATGGTTGGAGAAGTGGAAGCAGGCATGTTTGAGGCTGGCCCACTTATGGGAGTGAGGTGACCCAGTGGGTTTGGAGTCACAGACGCTGCAGTGCGGTTGGAGCGTCTAGATCTTTTCTTCGGTTTAGACTCAGAGCTAACTTTGACCGGGTGAGGTATTATCGTGGCCATATTTACCTCCGAGGGAGCGACCTTAGTATTTACAAATTGCGCGATTATTTCAGTCATCCTATCGCATTTTTTCATGAGTAATGATAAACAGTTAACAACTGGAATGACTTGACATGTTGGGCAAAACCAAATTGTGTCAGCAACTTGGTTTGTCTGTCTCAGTTCTTGGACGGATTTACCTGCACATTGCGGACAGTACGATCTAATGCAGCTAGAACAGGTAATACTGATCATAAGCACTTTACTTCAGTTGTCTGCACAACATAGGCGACGCTGAACCATTGGAATGCTAGTTGTCCTCTTGTTGTTTACAACAAAACCTTGATGAGTGTACTTTGCGCTAGGGGTGACGCACGAATAGGTCAGAACACGCACACGAATTGAGAGTTGTTCAACCGCACCAAGGTCAGGCGAAGAGGCAGATGGGGGTCGTAACGCGCAGACTGTCAGATTCAGCGATCAATCGACTCGCAGTGGGACACACACACCCACACAAAGCGGCAGCGACGATGTAGGTGGAGCGCTGATAAGCATCCCTAGAGCTGCTCAGTTGATGAGCGGAGCAAAAAGGCTCTAACTTTGTTATGCTGCAACTTGCAGGGATGATTGCCGCGTAGTTTGGGAGCCCTCAGCTTCTTCTTCCGAATGTGACCAAAATCTTGTCCGAAAGACCGGTTTGATGTAGTTACACAAGTGGAATTCGGCAAAGAATATGCCGAAAACTGGGAACTGGAGAAAGAGTATAATCCACACAGGTTAGATCCAAGAGTTGGGAAGCACTGAGTAGAGCTCGTCGAACTGGTTCGAACGAGCGCACGCACAATATTTTGTGGGGAGAATTGGAGTGGCCACAGAGGGCAAAGCGAGAGACGAGTTACAGTGCGGCCGCAAGATACCTCTCTCGGGATAATACCATTTATGAACTGCGAGATAGTGAATGTAAATTCTCTTTACCTAAATTCAAGACCAGCCTAAGGAGAAATTTCTACTTTTTTTTAGGTATGGCTCCATATGGAATAGGCTGCCAAAAGAGATTAGATGTATTGAACACTTTTGCATGTTCAAGAAAATGATAAAGATTTATCTGTCAACTGACAAAGTGAAATGGATCTTAAAAATTCAACTTGATGATGAAAAGCTGTATGAAGAAGGGCCGGATCATATATGATATCGGAGAATACCGAATTGAAATATATCCAAGAAATGCACCAGAGTAAACATGATCATCTAGGACGAGCTGTTACAACCACTTCTTATGCTATTCTTTAATGCTATCTCCTAAGTAGTTTTACTCCTTTCAAACTTAATTCATACCAACTATCTTCTGTTTAAAACCGAGAGCAAAATTATTTACTGGTGTGGGGCAGGGAACTATTTTCGTAATCCTCCCCACAAATTGATTAATTCGTGATATTGTCCTGCGATTCCCTTCGCTACATTTGTTCTGCAATGCTAACCATTTCCCCATCATTTCTGAACAGTCTAGAAACATATATTGGAATTCAGTGATGGCAATAACGGATTCTCTAGTTGACTTTCTGCCTATGGACGATTCGTACAGTTATGTCTTCGGCTGTCACGCCGCACAATTTGATCGTACGATCGGCTTGATCCATTCTTACGCTGAGCTAAAAAACATGCTTATTTTTTACATTCACGATATAGCACCACTTTCACACAAGTCTTCTACATTCTTCCTTATTTCATTGTTGGCCACGACTAAGCTGATCTCCAGTGGTGACGGATTATAGCTTCCAGATTATAAAAGACTTTATCTTTGCAAGGCACATTGCCACCAACTGACTATCGTATAAAAAGTGCCATGATTGAATGATCCGCAGGACGGACTGGGCTGAGGCTTTATCGCCATAGTACATGTATAAAAGCAGCCCTAAAAAGAACAGAACATATGATAAACAGGTGATGGCCCATATGCTACTATGCCACACCGGCACGCGGCCAGATATAGCATGGAAGTGCGGGCGAAACCTTTCGAGGGAATACGTTGCAGGTCTCCTGGGGACGGTTCCACGAGTGGCCGTATTACTTTACCTGGACATTTGTTTACATGTGCATATGGTATTTTTCCTGGCCTTTTAATTTCTTTAATATCTTAACCTTGCCAATTACTTTAATACCCGTTTTGGGTTCATTGTAAAAAGCGTGAATAAATTGATTATTTTTTGCGACCCTGCTGTACACATTGATCAGACCACATAGTTGGAGTGCATCTCGCATCGCCGAGGAATATACCATTTATTTATTTATAAGATGTACCGGAGTGCACATGATTTGGTACGCAAGACTAGGTGGTTCGCGCAAGTGCTGTACGGACACTGACTCCATAAAACTTGAAAAACAGTTAGTTACACTACATGTTTTCAGTATGAAGTAGCCGCGAAGTTGTCACATGAGATTAAGCCAAAAACCTGTATTCCGTTAGCTAGTCTAATGGTCAGATAAGTTATGCAGCTTGGCAGAGTGCCTGCATGGAGATAACGGGCAGCAAATCTGAGAGAAGTAGTTGTGTTCTCCCTTTGACATACATAACACGGTGTTCGTGTCCTAAACCAATCGGGTTGAGTTAATAACCCCCCACCTGCTAATTAGGCATCATCTATGGTTTTATTTTAAGAGGGTCGTTGAGTTGGGAGCAGTCAGGATTGAATTGGTATAGTATGAACAGCTCTGGTGACACTTGTGATGTGATACTAAGCATGACTTGGTGTATCCCGAATGTGTGAAAATCACTGCACAATTCATCGGCCAAAAGCCCGTAGTCGTAAGACAAAAATGTCCTAGGTTATTGCCACCGACGTCACTTTCGAGACAAACCGCGGTAAGAATCTCGGTGCAGAAGGGAAGTAAACGATAGACGGATGAGTCATGAGGGTTCTTGGTTGAATTATCACAACGTACTTGTGCAACCGTTTGTTCACCCAGAGGAATGTCTTCCGTTCGGGCACCAACGCGAGACACGAGAGCGGCAGAATCACATTCCATAAGAATGCTGCAAATTTACATAAATATCACTAGGAAGCGTGCGTACCCGTTGTTGCAAAGCTCGTCGATCACAAGAAAAATCAAATCCAAGTTGTCCAACACTGTTTTCTTCTCAACGCATCGTTTCAATAACTGTGTCACAGATTCGTACAGACAATTCAGTGCGTTTACAAGGATAAGCTGCCGGAAGTGGGTAATGAAATGGAGAAGTGAGTGGGAAAGACAAATTTACCTCATTCTCAGAACTGTCACCAATAACGTAGAAAAAAATATCACCGACGTTTCGATAAACGCACGTGGCACCGTCAAGAAGAGTAATCTCCGCTAAGAAAAAACAAATATGGAAAGAAAAGTAATAAAGTGACTGAATAATATCATCCAGTTGGGTCCCATATGGAAAATTATAAACAGCGTAAATAGTGCACAAACTTCCCATTTTTCTCATAGTAGAATAAACACTTGAATGCGGAGGATAAGACAACAATCCGAGAAAACAAACGCATCTAGTAGGCAGGCTAAATTTCCTTCGAAGAAATAATGTGGTGCGATGGTTTGGTTCTTGGCTTTAAAGTGCAGGATGTCTCTGCGCGGTATGCTTGCTTGTAAATACTCGAAGTGATCCAGCAAATCACTAGTCACCGATGGTGTAACGTCTCTATTGCATAAATCGCTTACAGATCGGCAAAACCCACATTACTTGCAAAACCACAACCACTCCCAGGTGTCAGCTGTGCACCGGCACTCGGTACTAATGCTGCACTGCCATGCAACTGCAAGCGGATGCACGCGGGCTGAGATACTGTAGAGAAGCCAAGACAGAAGCAGGATAGCTTATATCTAAGGTGTAGAAGCTACCGGCTAAACGCCCGGACCACTGCATCACATATGCGCATGGGGAGAGCGGGATGCCAACTAATCTGCCAAAAATAAGATGTACAGTGACAATGGTATAATACGGATAAAAAAGTCAAGGCTTGTCAAGTCCCGTGGGATCATATGTGTGAGTAACCTATGTTCAAAAATAATTACACTAAATTGAAACGCGCATCTGTGCACTCACCATATGACCCACGTTAACACACAAGCATATCCGTCTAACACGATTTCGTGGGGGGCTGGTAAGCAAAATGTCTTTCTACATCTTGTCATTACCCAATGAACAGAAATCAAATCAGGTAATGCAGGTGTTGAAATGCATCGTCGAGCCGTTCTTTTTTAAACGGATAACGTGGGCGCAGAAATGACAAAAGTCGTAAGGACATTCTAGAGGTAGCAAATTAGAAGAGAAAATTAGTTCCGGCAGCATTCTAGCCGACGGCATTGTGTAGTCAGTTTCAGATGGTGACACCTCAATTTGTATCGTGGCTGGGCTTCAGGAGGGGAGGGTAAGCGTGATCGGTTTTTCAAGACCTGGTGCTCCAGAATAACACCGCTGTACAAACCTAAAATTTCCAGTGGCAGATAGAACACTTCTTTTACATTTTTGACCGTCCTCCGCTGTGCGGTCTCTAGTGCAACCAGTTCGCGTTTTAACAAGTTGTCAGGCCTGGACCGCGAGCCCTACGTGGGGCTCACATAAGTATTGAGCACTTTAAGGAAGATGGAGAGATCAAACTTCCCGAATGCACTCTTGAAGGGAGCAAAAGGTTGTTTCTCGGTTTTGCACACCTTCAAGGGCTGCGCCGACCAGCCTAGGTGGTCTTGCATCACCACCTCTAGGTCGCGCTCCTTTGAGGCGGTTTTCAACAGGTGGTCTCTGAGCTTATATGCGTAAGTGAGCTTGTGGCGTACATGCACAGTTTTGCAGTTATCCGGAAGTAGATTTGACTTTGAGAATTCAAAAGCGCGATCTAAGTCTCACTGCAGTCTCATTGACTACCGACCGCCCGCCATATCTTGATATCATCGGAAAAAGCATGAAATCTGACTCGATGACAAGCGCGACTTCAAGGAAAGAATAACCGCGGTCCCAACAATGACCCTTGTGGAACACCGCAGTTCACATTAACTGGATCACAAAATAAGACACGAGCTCGAACCTGAAGTCACCACTGAAGGAGGAAATTTCCGATCCATCCAAAGACAGGGTATCCAATTCCGTACTCTTGCAGCTTTTAGAAAAGGATGCCGTTATCTAATCGGTCGAAGGCTTTAGAAAAATCGAGATAGATGTAATAATAATAATGTACCAGCTGTACGCCGTAACGGCGCTTCGTTGCCGTACGACCACCACTAGTCGCGCGCGGGCTGAGTATACCGCGAGGACGCCCATGCCGACGCGGATTCGAACCGGGGACCTTATGGTTGCAAACCGGGTGCGCAGAACACTCAGGCACCGGTCGACGATCACTCGGCCACCGGCCGGTCCCAATATCGGCTATTTCGGTCCAATTGTCACGCCAAATCAGTAGGTTGGTAGTACATGACCAGTGTTGACGAAATCCATGTTGCTCCGGTGCTATGAAGTTAGACCTTTCAAGTGAACCTATTTACGCCTCAGCCATGATCGACTCCATCACATATGAGAGTACCGGGAGGCGAATCACTGGGTGACAGTTGGGGGCTCTGAACGGTTACCACGTTTGAAAGTCGGGGTAATGATACCTGCTTCCACGTATTGGACGTCAGCTGCTCACCCAAGCTTCTTCGGAAAAAATCTCTTAATGGCTACGCTATCTCCGTGATTGACTCCTCCAGTCCTTTCGGAGAAATGTTGTCAACACCGGGGAAACTACGGGTGCGCACGGTAGCAGCTACCTCAAAACGGTCGCTGAACTAAAAGTGACGTGTGTAAATACCGGCGTCTAGGGTAATAGGACAGGTATATGACAGATGCTGGTGGGCGAGGGTACATTAAAGCATATTGCAGCTATAGAACATTGGATGCATCCTCGGCGGTTTCAGCACAGCCATTTGCTGACGTGAGTGGCGGAACACCACACTTCACATTCGGGAGGCTGTTCATCTATCTGTACAAAAGCTTGTTGTTCACACAAAACCTTTCCATTAAGCTCTACTAGTGTACTAATTTGTCCTCACGAACAAGTGTGATACAGTGATTACAATGCATTAAATAGTTGCTCCAATATTGCATATCTTACTGCCAAGCGTTTTCGGTTTCTGCTCCGAAAGATTGATGGCGCTCCTGTAGAACGAATGGGTCGGTTTACCAATGCGGATTTAATCAGATCACTGAGCTTGCCAAGAAACTCTATCCATGCACTATCAATGGAGCTGTCATCCGAGAACTCCAAGCTAGCATCTCCAATTAGTTCTGCGTGTGACTGGTCGAAACAAGCCAATCTGTTTTTGTGGATATTCCGCATAACACAGATAGTCGCAAAGTATCGTTAGTTGATCACTCAGACTCAGAGAACTCTTCAAGTTTGGTATCTCAATCACGAACTCTTCGTTCGTGAGCACTAAATCAAGCACAGCTTGTTTATTTCCCGCCCTGAATCGGGTGGGTTAACTGGCAAAGCTGAAGAGCGGAATGCTTACAATAATCTCTTGCAGGCTGGCCTTAAATTGCTCGTTGACGCATGCCGGAACTCCCAAATTGTGAACAATGAAGTCACTTAAGATGAAAACATGACTGTATCATCGCCATAAGACCCTCTCCAAGGTTAATCTCAGGCGGGAGTCATCTCTGGGGCGGACATTGGGGGGACGATAAGCAACTGCGTTGCGTCTCATTCGCAGAGTGTACCAGAGTGAATCTATGATCAGCGTTTTCAGATCGTCCACTGGAGGCCGCAATGGTACTACAAAAGTACCCCGCCGCTCTTGTTAGGGCGATCATTTCGAAGAGCTTTACCATGAATCGTGACTTCGGCCCGGGTAATTTCTGAGTGCAACCTAGTTTATAACAAATATGTGGTCCCAGACATATGATGCTTGATGTAGCCGCAGTTCGGTAAGCTTGTTCAAAAGACCTTGTGGATTGGTGTACATACAGGAAAGTTTCTGTTCATGGCAGTGAGTCGGGGGATGTTTTCTGGGTGTAATGTGCCGACCGGTGAAACGTCAGTCACTAATCGTTTTTTGGGTGGGGCGATGACGAACTCATTTGCATCAGATGCAGGGATCCCGCCGCTACCCTTTTACTCCTCTCTGTGTATGTAATGTATGGGATGTGTTCACCAGTTTCGTTAGCTTGCTGACTGAAGTCATCCGGACCGTAGTCGGGAAACGGTCCGACTAAATGGCTGCTCTCGCGTGGTTGCTTAGAGGACGCTGCTTTGATCCGAAGCTCAGAAGGTAGTGTGCTGCGAGCTGCATACCATCACTCCAACATTTGTTGACACTTGCCTGGATTGAAGCACCACCTTCACAATCCTCGGGCCACATCCCCTGTAGAGTGGTGATCTGCGCAGGTACGAGATGGATCGCGCTATGAAGTTTTCCAGGGAGATAGTCAAAACAATTTGGAGAAATCCCGGTTCACCGTAGTGCCCTGAGTTTGGGTGACACCTGTCAAGTTGACGGGCTTAACTACAACACCTATGATGTCACATGAAATTCTCACCGGCCCAAATAATTAATCGTTTTCCTTTTAAGGAATCTGATGTCGATTCTGGAACGGTGTAGATAACCGACAGTACACTTCGTGCAGACCGGGTTGAGGTCAGCTGCACAGCATATCTGCATAGAAAAGGATAAGGCTGAGTAAGTACAGTTTAGACTACTTTATTTAGTTTGGGCCTAGTGGGAGTAGCTGAAGGCCTAAGTTCCCAGTTGCATTTAGAAGCAACCAAGTTGCAACCACCACGTGTCGACGTAATTATGAAATTTCGGGAGAGTGTGGAGGGTGGACGAGGCCTTAGCAGTATCCATCCCAAGCAGGCTGGCGATGGTTGTTTCATGTGTGTTTGGAAACGGGTGGTATTGACGTTTAAAGTCACAGGTGACGAATTTCTAACGCGCTGCCCAGCCTTCTTCCACAGTTTTGAAGCGGAGCCTAATGGAAAAGACTGAGATTTGCTCTCTGTCACGTCTTCTTCAAATGAATCGATTTTGGTGTTTCGTAGTTTCTCAAGCACTGCCACCAGTCTTTTGTGCTTCTGCGGCAGTTCAGGTACAATCTTTACCAGTGGGATAACCATACATACTACAAAGAACCATAGATAAACTGGTCTACTATTAGGTAGCTTCAACTGGTTTACTGTAAGCTTAGAAGCTTTAGAATGGAATTTGCCGAAGCAACTGGAAGATGGGATTCCTGTACGTACATTTTTCTGGCATGAAGGAAAGCCACATACTGCCGTCAAGCTGGACGCAGTAGACTGGGCGTTGATTGGCTGTTACAAACCATTGTGTCAATC